GAGGAGGAGGAGGAGGAGGAGGCGGCTCTGAGGGGGCTCCGGACAGTGAGTGACACCCGCGCCCCACGAGCCCCCCCGGGGGACGGGGACAGGGGACACCCCCACACACACCCCCCTTCCCCCGGGGCGCTCGGGGCACCGGGGAGCGCGGGGAGCGAGAACGGGGGCGCGGGGTCCGTGAGGGGCGGGGGGGGCACAGCCGTGAGGGGAAACGCGGCCATGGCAAAGGGGGGACCCTGAGGGACGCGGGGAATTGGGGTGAGGGAGAGCGAGGGGAAGCGGGGAGGGGTTCACGGGGTGCGTGTGGGGCGGGGGGGGGAAAGTGCGGCCGGCTGTGAGTGCGGGGGGGCGGACAATAATAATAAAAAAACCCGAGAAACAAGAGAAAAGCGGAGGTTGGGAAGTCCGAGGGGAGGGTGGGCAAGGCTGAGGGGGTGCCAGGGAGGAGCGGGAGTGCATCCTGGGAGTTGCCCGATAGGCACAGCCACCAGAGCATGTCAGCAAAGGCGGATTATTGGTGCCAGAGCCTTGGGAAGCGGGGGAGGGGAGTGGGGGAGGGGACGGGCCACCGCCGGGGCCACCGGGCCACCASCGGGCCACCASCGGGCCACCASCGGGCCACCAGCGGGGCGAGCGGGGCTCCCAGCCCAGGGCGGGCCCGGTGCGGCCCCGGAGCCCGCGGGGACAGCGCGAGTGGCGCTCCCGGAGCCCCGGAAAGTTTGGGCACGGGGCGGGGAAACGCGGGGTGTGCGGGGAAAGAGGGGATGCGCTGGRAAACACCGGGGCTAAGGGAGAACTCCGGGCTGCCTGAAAACTCCAGGGTTTGGGGCAAAAACTGAGCAGTTGGGGGAAAAGCGCAGGGTCTGAAGGGAGCAATGGGGATCCGCTGGAAAGCCCCGGGATCTGCTGGAAAAGTTGAGGATCTGGAGCAAAATCTGAGCGTTTGTCCGAAAATCTGAGGGTCCGAAGGGAAAGCTGGGGATCCGCTGGAAAATCCCAGGGTCTGTTGTGAAACTCGGGGTCTGTTGAAAAATCCGAGTGTTTGGTGCAAAATCTGAGGCTCTGCAGGAAGACGTGAATGTCTGTTGGAAAACTCGAGGGTCTGTCCCAAAACTCRGGCTTCTCTTGGAAAACTTGGGGTTGGACTGGGTGTTTGGAGCAAAACCCGAGGATCTGCCCCAAAATCCAGGGGTTTTCCCCAAACCAGAGGATCTGGGTGTCTGTGGTGGATCCCGAGGCTCCATCCCAAATCCCGCAGGCAGACAGGACAGGCTGGAGGGGACAATCCCTGGGGACAATCCCAGACCTGCTCGGTGCCAAGGCGGGRCCGCATCCCTTGGGAATCGCCAATTCCATGTGCCAGCATCAGGAATCTCCAATTCCCCCTCCGTTATCCCCATTTACCCTTCTCCTCGCCCTTTTTTAGGATTTCCTGCTGCTTTGGGGCTGTGCTGCCCGGGGTGGGGGGTTGGTTTGTAGGCAGGACAGGCTGTGGTGAAAATAAATTTATTTCCTGTCTGTGGTCACCACCTTCAGCTCTGCTCAGCCTCCAAGAGCGCTTCCAAAATCCAATTCGTTTTAAATTTTCCCTCTTTTTCTCTCCTTTTCCCACTTTTCTCCCTGTTTCTCTGCTAAATGCTGTGAAAAATCTGATTTTCGGGAGGCTGGGGCAGTTGCTGTCGGCAAAATTTAAGGATTTAGGAGGATYTAACTTCACAAATTTGGATCCAGGAGTGAATTCCCAACGGGAAATAGGTGTAAGGAAAAGAAAGCTTCTCTTTTTGCTTAAACTTCAGGAAAAGTGACTTTGTTTGAACTAAAACTCCTTAAGAACTTCAGGACTGGTGCTTGCTGAGCACAAAGCAGCAGTAAATGCCAAGAAAATGTGTGGAATATTTCAGGATTCTCAAAGAAAAAGAGTTTTAGGAGAGGAAAGATCAGTGGTTTTAGCAGTTGTCTTTGAAAATGTAGATTTGGCTTTCTTTCCTCAAGAAAGGGCTACAAAAAAATCTGAAAAAGTAAGTTTTTTAAGAGTTTAATGATAAATGTGAAACCGAGTCCAGCCCTGCTCCAGCTGCATCTCCCAGGGAATAAATCAGGTGTGGTTATCCCACAGATGGAGCTGAAATTCCCATTTCGGGCTCCTGAAAATCCCAAAATGCTGCTGTTCTGTGGGCACTTCCTGCTCCCGCTCAGCATCCCTTGGAGAATTCCCATTTCCTGCTGCCAGGACCAAACTTACCCGGGAGCAGCGAAATTTGGGGTGAAATTCAGCCAAACGCAGCCACTTTCCTTTTGGAAGCTGCTGGGATCAGTTCTGATCCCAAAGGAACAATCCTGGTTCCAGTGGGGTGGGAGAGGCGGGGCTGGGGGTTAAACCTCGGGATGGGGACACCGAATCCAGGGATTTGGGAGGGTTGGGATGGGATTGGGTGTTCCTGAGTCTCGGGAAGGGGGAGGACATGGAAAGGACATGGAAAGGACATGGAAAACAGGGAAAAGGGTTTGATTTCCCAGCCTGCAGTTCCCCATGGCTGCTGTGGGGCTGCTCCTCGGTCCCAGGGTTATCCAGGCCCAATTCCAAGCTGGAATCCTGGAGTGACACCTTTGGGGGCCTGGCCCAGCAATCCCAGGGACATCCTCGGGATTTTCCATCTTTTCCATTGCCA